GAATCCAGAAAAGGAGGCATGTTCATATAATTAAAGACTCTCATAAAGCATACATACTATGCACAGGTAGCCAACTTAAGCATTTCTTTGCTTTTTGAGTGTTTTGCTTTCAAACCTTAACATTACTTTAATATTTTCAGTATATTTTAAGTGAAATTTAGTTCTTTAATTGTGATTTTTGTCAACAAACATACTTTCAGGTTTGCTGCATTGCAACAAGCTCCCCGAGTATCACTTAAAATTACAAGAAACAATCCTAGCATTTTAAGAGGTTGACTGGCTCCAAAAATTCAACTTGTATTAGTACTGGCACACTAAATTCATCAATTATTTTCCTCCTTTTTGGCCTTAGATTCAGTGACAAGAGAACAGAGTGGCCCATGTTTCAACCCACAGGCATTTGTCTAGGACAGAAAGGTCAGCAGGCCAAAACCATCAGTTTTGTTTCTTTCAGTCTCAAATTAGGCTTTTAGAGTGCACAAAGGACAATTCTGTCTCTGTGTTACCAGTTTGGGAATACTGCCAAAATCTTCACAGGCCCTACTTAATACAAAGACCTTCATACTCTGTAAAAATGTAGTAATTGCAATCACTGCAATAAGCAACCTACATGGGAACAGAAAGGGAGATAAACAGAATTTGGTTTTACAAACACATTTTCAGTACTGAAATGTTTTTACAACATAAATAGACATCAGAAGCACACAATCTGCATTCACAGAGAGAAAGCTGTTTTGCTCAGGAATAGTTCACAGGCATTCTTGGGAGAATGGAAATTTTAGTCAGTAACCTGGAATTCTTCTGCCTTCTTTTCCAGAAATGCCAAGAAGCCTTTAATGAGTTCTTGGTAAGCCTCCAGGGATAGATAAAGAGGACTTGGAAGTCACAGCATAAAGCAGCAGCTGATATTCAGCTCACTAAACATAAACTGGAGTTGTATTTTGTGGATTTGAGTTTAAACTGAGATTTCTATAACGTGACAGCTATTCCGTACTGATTGTAAACCTCCAGCTTCACTTACGGGCTGGTATTCTCCATGAAGCACAGATTACAGTAGAAACATCAATATGTAAATTTTAGATACTGTCACAAGCTCTCCAATCCCTGAAGACAAAATGCAGAACCAACAGGAAAGAGAGTAGAAGGAAAAAGAAAGGAAAGTAAGGCTGAGTAGGGGATGAAAAGAAAAAAAAAAAAAAAAAAAAAAACCAGAAAACCAACCAACCAACAAAAACCCCACAACAACAATGATGTCTTCAGATCATACGACATTTTGGGCAGAAGCAATCCTTAAGGGATGCTTGGGAGCCACCAAATGTCACAGGTCAGCCTTCTTCTCCAGAACCTCAAATTCATGGTAATTTTGATCAAATGCTCATAAACAGCATACCTGTGTAACGATGTGACTAATTTATACTCACATAAATTCAGTATAACTACATAGGAATAAAGATTGACCTGGAGCAAGTACAAAAACATTGCCTGGAGTGGAGACTTAACTACAGCAGTTTTCATTTAAATGTCTCGACATAGCTGGCTAGATGTCTAGATTATTAAAAAATAACCTTTCTGGACACCGATAATGTTGAACTATACTATGCCTCCTCTTATATGTTGATGAAATAAATTAAACAGTACAAAGGTGAAGACTAGGATAGAAAAGACATTTCTTCATCTAAGTAAGATTTTGCAATGGCCAATAGGTATTTCGCTCTAATTCTTTCTGGTTTTCATATATATATTTGTATGTATACAAATAAACAGATGATTATACTATCAGATCCACCAAAGGAAGAAAAGTATCAAAAATAATAAGATTTCAAGACAAGACCACAAGAAAAAAAAAAAAAAAATAAAACCAGACCAACTAGCTCTCTAAAATGTCACATTGACAAGTATGATTGCCAAGGTTTAAAAGGAGGTGGAGCAAAGACTTGCACTAACCAGTAAATTGGGATTTTTTGAAGGACAGTGAAAGGAGCTAAATTTTGCAGAAAAGACTTACAGATTTAAAATTGGACAGAAGCCATCTTAAAAGCATTCCATTTGCCAAACTACCGCATTGTGACATCACATGTCAGTGTAAAGTTATTGTTGGCAAATGCTAACGCAGCTCCATGATGATTCCTTCAATCCTTATGAAATGCATCAATCATCTTTCAGGAACAAAAGCTGGTAAATCATGTATCTACAGTCAATTCTAACCAGAATCAGACGAACACTTTTTGTCTTTGAATAAAACCTTCTGGAGATCAGTGAAATATTAAAATGGCAAATTAGAACATGAAGAGCACACTTTAAAAGATAAGGAGGAAAGTTAAAGCATGCACACAAGCCACCAAGCCTTGCAGTTCTGCTTCTCCATAATGAGATTAACACAGCTCCTGTGGCTGCCATCTCCAATCATCACTTAGATTATCAACTGGACTAAAGCCAAGGCTCTAATTGCTGCACAGAAGCAAAGTCACTATTACAATAAATGTACTGAATTCTGTGTGACAGCTTACAAGCTTTTCCCCACACAGCATTGGATCTTTAGAGCAGTCCTGTTACCTGTAGCCATTTCTTTTCTTGAAAAAGCTGGTTTCGTTTTGTGGCTGAAACCTGCATCCTCTCCTGATAAGTAGATCTCAAAAGTTTATGATCGTTTTCATGCCAAAGTTGCATTTCTTCATTTCTAACCCTTTGGAAAGATGAAAAATGCTAAAAATTAGCATTATTGCCAAGTATCAATGTCTCAAAGACTATACAGATCAGAATGTTACATGTTACCTTCAGAGTCATAACACTCCACCACCAGAATGATTACATCTTAAATGGATATAGTTAGAGAACAAGAGATTTTTCCTTGGCATATCTTCCTTTATTATATCAAACATTTACACTGTTTTTACAACACGCTGAAGAAGGAAAAAGGAAAACTTGTATAGCTTCAGGCTTCCCCCAGCTTTTTCATATTTCAGAAATTTATCCATCACTGCCTTGAAAGAGACAAAACTAAGGCATGTAATTTCCATCAATACAGAGAAAAATCTCTCTTAGACAGAAGTTTAGAAACTTGCCAAAGCCATTTTTGCAGCTTCTGACAGCTTTGTGGAGACTACATTAGAGATCATCTGGAGTGTTTGCTTCACAATGCCAAATTTTACTTCTCTCCTGCACAGCAAGTTCTTTCAAAATTGCAGTCAGTGGGATTCCTCACAGTGGCCAGTACAACCCTCAGCTGTAAATCTTTGCATGATTGGACCCCAAGGTAATCAGTACACTACATTAAGTGTCAAGTCTATAATCAGCCTCTCAAAATGCACCTGCAAACAATGCAAACCTTTCATCTTGCATGTTCCTGCATAAGGGCATATGCGCTTGCAAAGCCAATTGTATTTCTGTGTCCATCTCTATAGATACAAGTGCATTAACGTATAAAGGGTACAGATGCATTTCAAGATCTTGGGGTTTTCTTTAATTAAAAAAAAAAAAACAAAAAACCAGACAAAAAAAAAAAAACACCTTGCTATGTCTCAACGAATATTTTTGAAGCACGATTTCACGGTAACCATGCAAAGCAAATACATCCATGCCGCACACAAAACATACATCACAAGTCTGGTTTAAGCATGATTAATCACACAATTATGATCTCAGTACACAGCTGTTTAACAAGTGTGTAAACACTAAGAGGTTCCTGTCTCTTCTGCAGGACCATCAGAAGACACACATGCTTTACTCCCTTTCTATGGGCTGAAGAATGTACTGAAAAGGCAAAATAAAACACTGGTGCTAAAATAAATGACATTAATATTTAAAGCAAATAGACATCATGACAGTGTTACTTTATTTCTGTAATAACAAAACAGCTGAAAGGGACACCTGCATTGTGAGGTGCTAGGCCATCACTGTATTTGTGCCTTACAATCATTACAGGTTGCTGTGGCTCCAGCCAGCCACACTTCCCAGCAGTTCTGAAGCCACCTTCTTTTAGCAAGATCTGCATGCCATAGAGATTTCCCAGCAGCTGGTCAAAATTTAAGAAACATTCCACAGTAAACATAGATTATTCTCAGAAACTTTTTGTAAATCACTGTACATCTGCCCACTTGGTACTGAGGAAACAAGAACAAGATCTCTCTGATCTCATGTAACCTGGGTGATTGCAAGAACCCAGGTTTAGCTTGGGTAATGTTCCTAAGCTAAACATAACCAAACCTGTCTCCTACCACCTGCCCCCAATATCCCATGGTAACACTGAATACATTCACCTGAAAACTGATAATTTAATCAAGTAAAACAAAACCAGGTCATGAATTTCAGTCTCATGTATTGAACAAATAACCTGCCATACACAGTTTTATTTAAAAAGTTCTTTATTTGCAAAGAGATGAGGCTGGCCTGACTACTGTGAAACTGCAATGATTTGGTCATATGGGGCTAGCCTCATCATCTTTCTAATTCTCCACTGAAAAAAGAAATCTTGGGTATATTGGTTTTGTTCAGATTCAGAATCAAAATAAAAACTGAAGCCTACAAATTTTTCATGAAGAATTGGTCATGTTTTCAGCCTTGTACTATCTACAAATACTGTTGGAACAGAAAGATTTTAAACACTCGTATTGAAGACAAAGGGCAGGCTTGCTGCATCAACAAGAGAGTCAGACCATAAACAAAGCAGTATGAAAGGCTTCAAGAATCAAGCAAGAAAAAGAAAGGGTGTCGCAACAACAGTCAAACTCAAGCTCAAAGAAAGGAGCATGCACAGGACACGAAAGTGAAGAGGATATTCATCTGACCCTGAAGAATGGCACTGCTCTCAGACCTGTGCAAACAGAAGAGTTACAGATATAATCAAAGAACAGCACTAGTTTCACAAATGTATATATTATTTATCCTGTATGTTATTATACAAAAAATATTATATATACATTATATAAGAAAAAATAAGCAGACTATGTATTCAAGGATGCTTCAGTGACTCAATTTTATGACAACAAAGACAACACCACCACTAAAGCCAAAATCATTATAAAGCAAACACATCTTAATGACAAAATACAAGCTGTTGTACCCTAAATCATTAAGAAATGGCAAAATAGCTTCCTAGGGCCTCAGAAGGTAGAAGCAAACAACTCTGAATGCATGCAGTTTGTTTCAAACCTGTCTTATTCCTAAATACTATAGAGACTAAAAATACCCTTAAAAGTCTCAAATTCAACAATGAAATCCTATTATCTATACTGGTTTTATCTAATTTTCAAGTATATCAAAAACACCCATAATGTATTGACTAGCACACTGAAGCCTTTATACATACAAGCTGCCAGAAAACAAAAGATTTTTTTTTTCTTTTGTGCATTTAAGAATAGCTCCCGATATCTATGAAGAATCTTCTTGCTTCTAACAACAGTAACCAGTAGCATAGCTGAAGACCGACCTAGAAATAGAGAACTTTTTCTTCCTAAGCTAACTACCTCCCTTGGGTCATCCAATGCATTTCACATTCCCCCAGTCTTTGAAGCTGTTATCTGTTCAAGGAAAGGTTGAGAATTTATTTTTGTGACTTTGTACAGTGCTGAGCACATTACTGCCACCTAACAAGTGATGCATAAAAAGAAGCTCCCGAAGAACTATTCATATTTAAAAAGAAAAATAAAATCTGTTTTTACTTTAGATTTAAATATCCTTTCATTGCTTGAAAAGGAGCATCAGAATTAACTCCACAGGGAACCATTGCTCAAGCTGCCTTGCTGTGTATGCTCAAGATGCTATGTCAAAAATTCAATCCCATTCCCATTCAGCATAAGTGAGACAAGTTCCATTTAATTCACCAGTTTGACATGATCAATGTTTTTCAGAGCAATTCTAAAAGAACTGTAGAAATAAAAAATAAATAAATAAATTTTAAAAAAAGGAAAAAAGGAGGGCAGGGGAGATTTTCATAAACAAGTCCCATATTGATATGTTAGAACATCCTTAAAACTCTTTATTAGAATTATTCATGAATTGTATTCTGTACTTAGAGAAAACAGAAGCATCATTCTACATAATAAGGAATCAACAAACTTACCGATGATCAGCAGCCCAGTGCAACGCTGCTTGAACTTGGGTAACAAACCGATCCAAAAAACTGCTAACTGAAGGATGCCTTGAAGGAAGCTGAAATTTTAAAGAATTTTTCTCTTTCTCCAGTTCTTCCAGTTTCTGTCTAAATTTATCAGCTAGAAATAAAAAAAAAAAAATAAAATAAAATGAAAAATTAAACCACGACACCACACACAAAACAAAAGGAAAAAAAAATTTACTCATCAGTGACAAAAAGGTTCCATTTTACCTGAAGAAGAAATAAAGGTCAATCAACAAAAAGTAAAATCCACCTCACAGGCAGTTCTTCTCCTTTTGATAAAACATATCAGTGTTTTTACCCAAGGATGAATTACTAAGACTACAATGGAAAACATCAGACAAGCAGGATGCTAAGCTGCTTCTACAACAAGGACAAAACTGCAGGCTTCTCAGCACTTTCACAGAGTTTTAATTTGGTAAGGCTTCAAAGAATTGGCTCAAAGTTATAATCTGTGCTCTTTTCCTGGAGTAACAGCTCTGGATTCAATTCTAAGGAAACTACTCTTAACTGTTCCAGTTTTAAAACAGTCTTAGAAGGCAGTTACACATTTAAAGTCTGACCCTTTAATAAACTGCATTGTTATTAGGTCAAGAACTGAAGAACCACATACGATATCTCAGCAATATATTTCAGCAGAAAATGCACATGAAATTATAGCATTTAAACAATTATACCATTCCAGGCTCTCCTGAATTATGCTTTTATCATCCAACAAAAAGATTTACTTTAAACTTTAAATAAAAGAAACAGTGGTCCTTAAGACATTACTTTGACTCTACCATAACTATAAATTTCTTAAACCGTTCTCTATGTAGGTCAGTTCTTTCCTTTCTTTCCCTGTGTAGAAATCACAGGAACACAGTTCCAATTACAAATTATTATTTCTGGTACATATATTCTCTAAAGTGCCAGTATATTAGCAAAAATCACATCCATGACAGATAAGAAGCCTAGCTGGTCCAAGCCAGAACACCTTTGATGATAACATTAGTCAAATCAGAGAGAGTTGAGCTAGCCTGCAAATGGAAAGCCTTTACAGCTAGTACTTCCCCCACAACCTCACTGCCTATTCTGCACGATTAGCATTCCTTCCTTCCTGACATTTCACTACAGCATGTTACTGTCATACATCTGTGCATGCTTTTTACCGCTTATTTTCTTTATTCTCAAAGGGGTTTTAAGAAGAGGGGTTGTTTACATTTGCTAGTTTAGTGAAATGACCCATTTTTACAATAATCTATCATTCATACTGATCTCCTTTCTGCTTCTGTGCTGATGGGGTGGAATAAAGACACAGACCGTACTAATGAGACTAGATCTTCTCCCTGGGGCAGCAGACTGTTCCAGGGTAGTTAAACTCCTGTTGTTATTATTATTAGGGTGCAAAATGCTGCCAGAAGGCTCCAGCCAAAATGATCACCATGCAAGGTACTGCAGGGTCCAGGCCTTGCCCCAGCAGCCACACATACACATGTGCATTCTCTTCCTGCAAAAGAGAAACACGTTTTCAGCAGTGAGGTTGAACTACATCTGTGGTGCATTTTTCAGGGACCACAGCTGTCCAATCCCTACCATGACAAGGAAACTGGAATTTGGGCCCAGATGAAGCTCCCTAGCCCATACTTTGACCAGAAGAACATATCAGCATTTGTAATATGCATAGAATTTCAAAGACAGCCATCAAAAATATCACTGTTAAAAACACAAAAGTAAGAGTTGGATTGTGACCAATGACCACTGAATGCCAAAACACATAGAAACACCTCCTTTTATTCTTAACTATCCACCAACAGGCTCTGTGTGTTAAGTAAGCAGCAGTTGAGAAAGCAGATAACTCTCTACAGCCATTTAACATTTTCACTGTTCTCTGACATACTTATTCTTATACTATGTTTGTGCGTCCAGTTGTTTCATCATTCTATTCTACCCATCCTGGCCCTAGAAACAGGCTATTTTGGGAAGGAAAACAGATGAGGGGATCCACCTGCCACTTCATTCTCTCTCTCATTAATTCTTGGCTATGTCCTGCTTTATACATTCCAATCTACACAGTACTCAATTAGTTTCTACTAACAGATGTTTCTAAATAATTTGTTCCACTGGCATTTTATAAGTACTAATGCTGGCCATATCCACTTGTCACCTCTCAGCACTAAATGACTTTTTTTATCCTTTCAGCATTGCAGTTAGGGGTTATGTCTCAAGAGACTTCAGCACCACTGAGCTGAACACTGCAGCACATGGCTTTTAGTCTCCTCTCCTGGAAAGGTTGACCTGGCTGATGTCTTCTGTGAGTGGAGAGATCAAGGCTCCTCAGTGCCAGCTGCAGAAAGCCATGCAAATAAGGCTCATCTCAGTCCAGCTTTCAGTGTTGCAGCTCAAGAGACAGCTGGGTCAAGCAGAAGTAATGGAAGTGATCAGAAGCCTAGCGAACAGAATTTAAAAACCATGGCAAGAAGCAGGGTTCCCTGATCTAGTGGAGATAAAGACTAAAGGAAGTAACTTTCAGTACTATTACATAGCAAGAAGCTGCAAAAGAAATTGGTAATACAGTGCTTTTCACCTTTCCTCAGAACTTGGGTCCTCAATAACAAACCTGAGTTGTAGTAAAGGAGATGAGAAAAAAACATTATGTGTAGTAAAGCACTAAAACTAACTGCTTGGGATAGACAGGAAATCTCCACCACTGCTGGTTTTCAGGTCAAACATCTCTCAGGAATAGCTCTGGCATAGTTTCTAAGGTTAAGCCAGCAAGATCAAATGTGTTATCCCGAGATGATCCCTTCCCACCCTCTTTTCCACTATTTTTCAGCCAAAAAGCAGGCACAGAAGGCCTTTGCTATAAGCCATCAGACTCAAGGACATCACTTTCTTCTACCTCAATTTTAGTCTTCTGAGCATGTGATTCCAACACAGAAAAGACCTTCACAGGATCCCAGAGCTCACAGATGGACTGAGATACCGAAAGAAACCACACACACCCAGATACCTCCATCACACTCAAAGACTTAATACTTTATTGCTCTGTCCCACACTTCACCTCAAGTCATTTAATAAACAACTTACATGAAAAAAAGCAACCCTCCATTTGAAGTTCTTACATGAAGGAACTTAGTGTATTCAGCAATGAAGGAACTTACTGTATTCAGTACATACTGTTTTACAGACAAGCATCTGGAATAAGGCTTAATTCTCTTAAACAGCCTTTTATTTCACTACATTCTGTTGCCAGCTGCCTTCTGTCAGTCCTACAGATACTCTAGACAAAGCTTCTGCTTCAGAGAATCATAGAATGGTTTGGGTTGGAACGGACCATAACGCTTGTCTAGTTCCAACCCCCTGCCATGGACAGAGGCACCTTCCACTAGACCAAGTTGCTCCAAGCCCTGTCTAGCCTGGCCTTAAATACTTCCAGGGATGGGGCATCCACCCCTTCTCTGGACAATCTGTGCCAGCATCTCACCACCCTGATAGCAAAGAATTTCTTCCTAATATCTAATCTAAACTACCCTCTATCAGTTTAAAGCCACTCTTCCTTGTCCTGCCACTACATTCCCTTGTAAAAAGTCCCTCTCTACTTCAGTGTAAACAGCAAGAGTTAACCCTTAAATTATCCCCCATCCCAATCCATTACTGCCTTGTGCATCTCAAAAATTGCATTCAAACTAAAGTCAACCCAGAATACAGGCCTGGAAGATGCTGACTAACTGCTAGTTTCAATTAAACAGCAGTAAGGGAACTGCACTGTCTCCAGAGAACATGTTTTGTAATAGCTTTGAGCAAAGGAAGCAATTTACATAATTTTTAATTGACCATATGAGAACATCTGGCTACCTCTCTACTTTATACATATTCTGATACATATTTTTCCCTGTAAGACAAGGTTCACTTTATCAGAACTATTTATCATCATTTAAAAAACATCTAAGAAAATCATCACAGTAAGGGTAGAACCTCATTTGCTACATACTGCATATATTTACATTTATTTATGCCTGTTCTTTGCTGATAGGTGCGCAAAGATGATCAATCCTGCTATTCTACAAATTGCTGGACATTAAAAAAGAAAAAGCATTTCTTCAGCTAGTTCAACTAGAGAGTTCTCTTTTCTCACGCTATCAATGTTTTTGGTCTCCAAAATATACTACAGCAGAAAATTTCAAAATGGAGTGATGAATTATTTGAACACTTACCCTATTGGCAATTTTAAACCTCAAGTCTGACCATCTTATTAGCTGTTTCCTTTTGTTATTTTTTCTCCTTGTAAATAAAAACGAAAGAAAGAAAAAACCCAACAACATTCCTTTTTCACTTTCCCTGCATATTAATAACTTTGACATCATCATGTTCAAATTGCATCATTCATTTTCCAGGACAGAGAGACATATTAGCTAAAGCAATGCTAGAAAGGCTACAAAGTGGGGAGTCTAATGTGGAGCCTGAATACATGACTGAAATGCAGCTGGAGAATAGACTGGTAAGCAAGGTGTCTACAGCCCAATTACTAGCATTGGCCTCCTGCAAAATTACTTGCAGGAGAACATGCAGATCAATTAATATCCAAATGTGACATGTGAAGACATATACTGTGATAAGAACTGAAGGCATTACAAGCAACTGGAGTATACATGTGCTCTTACTTTAAGGTTAAAATAATTAACCATTTAACAGTACCAAAAAGATACACAGTAGAAGATACTCAACTCCATGCAAGTCCTAACATGTGGATACATGTAAAAGCAAGCTTCAGATCAAAATTGGGTGGTTGAGCAGCTAGCCCTTACCATGTGCTGTCTGGTCACAGGTACAGAGAGCAAAGCCTTTTCTACCTTCCATTCAGCCCTGCATACGGAAACCTTCAAAATAAACCCAGTGCAGAGTCAAACTGCACACCTGGGCATGGCTGGCTCCATGGAGGTGTAGGGACACTGGAAAAGCCTGCTGAAGCAACGGGAGCAGCAGCTGTACCACAGAACTATGCCCACTCTACTGACTATGTGGACTAAAAAGACCACATCTGCAGAGCAGGACAGTTCAGTACTGAGGCCCCAACATCTGCAGTTCAGAGGGTCTTACTTCAGAGTAGGTTAAGTG